TGTAAAAACAGAAGCGAGGCTTGACAGTTGATGGAATTCAGATGAATGATTGGCCTTTTTTTTTTTTGCTAACCTTGCGCTCTGCATCCAAAATCTCTTTTTCACTTTTAGCTCTGGGTCTGAGCAATGTGACAGAGAGAGTAACAGAGTGCAGAGTGCTGGGGTGAGCCAATCTGCAGCACAGCACCAGGTGTGGGAGATAATGTTCCGCTGGATCATTTCTTGGCGGGTGGTGCAAAGTTCATCATGACTCCAGTTTTGATCGATAGCGCGATGCAAAATGAGTCCTCAACTGAGTGCTGTTTTTAATAAATTTTCACCATACTTCACAACCATACTTTGAGGCAGCCGTGAAGCAAATACTTGCAAATACAGCTATTGATCTGTTGATTGAGCGCAGGCCAATAAGGCAAACTACGGTTATGGATAAATCAAGCTGACACTGCAGAAAAAAACAAGCCAAGGATGGGAGAAAAAATTGAGTGAATATTGGAATTGATTTAGTTGGTGAACCAGTTTTCATAAAGACTGGGTTTCCTTTTATACACACCGCTAATTAATTCATGAGGTGTTTTTCAACCAATCACAATTAATCTGTTTACCTTGAAAGAACAGAACACCCACCTAACCCATTAACTCTGAGACTAGGTAAAGAGTCAGTGCAATTCACAAATAATGCTGACCAAGAACTGCAGCATTCTAAAAATGGCAGCTGCTGATACAGAGTGCAGTGGGAAGTGTTAGGTAAAGGTGGAGCGTCTATGCATATTGAGAAAGGTGAAATGTGAATGGGACAGTGCGGTTGATGATGGAGCTTGATCTACCATGTATACAAAATAAAAAGCCACAATGACATAATCAACAGGTTGTTTTTGCTTTAGGAATTACCCATCCTCATCTCAGCTTGGAAACAACAGCCCATTATCCAAACTGTAGTTTGGCTACAGATTGCCATCAGAACAGTTGCTTTGGGACATGAACAACATTCATTTGCAACTGATACAGAGTGTTGAGGGAATACTCCAGTCGGCATACCCTCATGTTAACACTGCACAAATAAAAAGCAGTTCTCATGATGTACACAGCTTGAAATCTCAAAACAGACAACCAAAAAGACAACTGTAACAATAAATAACAATAAATCAAGTTAATATAATATGAAGTCTATAGACAAGACTATACACAACAGACGTCAGAACGATCTACTTAGATGATTTATGATGCTCTGTTGCTCAGTATAACTAATATAAATTATAAACAATATCAGCTATACAATACAATGCAACAAAACACACATTTGTAAGTCATTTTGGGAAACTTTTCATTATCATGATGACTAGCCATAAGACATACATAATCTATTAAGATGTGACTATTTGTGTGCTAGATCAGTTGTTGTGGTCATAGATGTTAAACGTTTCTGGACTGTTAATTATTCATAAAGTAAACTTGTAACTGGCACCCACTGCCCAGTTAAAATCCGTTGGCATGACTGTATGCTCACACACGCACAAATTTGAAACTGGGTCATGAGAGGAGAAACAAATCTAACAGCTGCAGTGCATGAAAGCTTACATCTCAAACCTGCAACACAAAAACAAAAGCCAAGGAGTTACTCCCCTGATATTTCCCTGAAAATCCCAACAGAGGCAAAAGAGAAGAAAGCACTGGACTTAAAAAGCTGAACACTTCCCTGCTCACTCTGAGGTTAGTCAACCTAACAACCAGTCAATATTTACCCACTGTTCTGTGCTCTGCTCAAACAACTCTTTGTCTTTATCTACCTCTGTCTGACTCACACGCTGGTTAGGGAAAGTGGACACCTATCTGCGCAGTGGGGATTATCTACATGCCTTACAGGTCTTAGTATTTTATGTCCATGAAGTAAAAGGTTCAAAGAGAGTTAAAAAAGAAAGGGAAACAACATAAAGGCATCAAAACACATTGGACTCTTTAGATCTCTTAACATTCACCCAGGGAATTCTTTGTTGTCATTGTTGAAAAAAAAAAAAAAAACAACAGCAAAGGAAAAGGTGTTGGCAAAAGTTGCTGAACAGTGGACGAACAATAAAAGTTTATTTCTGCAAACGTCATGTAGTATTGTGCAATTACCCCACTGTGATAAGTTGTGCTCAAATGACCTGAACACACATATATAAAACACACACACTGGCTGAAAATGCTGGTAGATAAAATTGTTCTTCACAAAACAGTTCAATGCCAAGGATAATCTCAGTCAAATACCTGCGAGTTTCACTTTGAACCAAGGAGGCAAATGCGCATCTGGCAATTGGTGAGCCAGGTGTTATTTACATTTTCTCAAAGTGGATAGTGGTGGGGGAGAAAATCAATAGGGATACAAACAGAGTAATTGCAGAGCAACACGTTCCCTTGGGCGAGCACCACCAATGATGTCCTGCCAGAGTAATGTGGAGGAGAGGTAGAATCCAGCAGCTGCCATTAAACATCCTCTTCAGCCCTGCAGTTAATCGGTTTCTGCATCTTAGTTTCTAACCTTAGGTTTAGGGTCATTAATTCTTTTAGCTTCATCCGAATGTTAGATCTGCACAGTCAGTGAAAATGCCTGTCGGTACAAAAAAATAGAACGGAATAACCCAGCTGCTTTTATGCAAACAACTAACGTACCTGAGTTTCGTCAAGAATTTCACCTGAGTTCTCGTGGATCGATCAGGGAAGCCTGATGTTGACCCTGACCCTCTTTTTTTCAACTGTTCTGCCAAGTATTAATCAATACTGCTTTAAAACTTAAAAAAATAATATTAGTTAATTTAAAAAGTTTGAATCGTATAATGAGAAGTGTTCATTTAATTTTTGCACACGCACTGAGAATTTCTACCCATCCTTGATTAAGAGAACATTTTTAAATAAAAAGTTCCATCGGGAACATTATCTTTTTGCTAAGGAGTTGCAGGAGGAGCTGAACAATTTTTTAGCTGACATTGGTCAAAAAGGAGGTCACACTGTAATCACAAAGTCACAAATCATAGAACTAAGAGCCACACTTGTAACAATAAGGCAGTAGAAAGGTCTTGTGTCCTGAGGTCTGAAGACTGGAAATTGCAGGTAAACTCCAAGACCTCAACCATTTGTCCCCAGATCAGATTAGTTTGATCGAATTACAGATTAAACTCAATTTTCTGCCCTCCCTCCAAACAAGCCTCTGGTGACCCTCATTGTGTTTGACCATATCACCTCATTTGTCTACCAGTACCGTTCCTTACTGTAAAATGACATATACTTCTCGACTTAGTCCATTAATCCATCCCATTCCACTTAATCCAGTACAGGGTTGTGGAGGAAGGTTAATCTACAAATGGTCCTGTTTTAGGGCCACAAATAAATACAGACCACCATTCAAACTCTCAAACACTCATCACAAACACAACGGTCTAATCCGGATGCCAAAATAAACATCAAATTATAATGTTAGACAAAAATATTTTATTTGAGAACTGTGATTGGAACCAAATGTGGAAACCTCTGTACCAGGAGAAAACCACACTGTGACCTTTGAACTGCAGTGAGTGTGAGGTGGTTGTGACATTCCTCACGTTACTGACCTTTTTGTAAGTTAGGCAAGAGCACTAACCACCATTCCATAGCGCGGCTCTACTGTGGAAACAACACTTTTAAATCAAATGTTGTGCAGGTAAAACATATTGAAATAAAGCCATGACAGAATTTCTGCAGTGACTGGGTCCCATGTGCAGACTTCCTCTGCACCGTGAATGATCTACTGAGACTGGCACGCTGCACGGCTCTGCAGCAGTATTTCATCTCTGAGACTCACTTTTCCATTCACTCTTTTCTTTTCTTTGCACGTTAAGATAGTGTAAGCCCTGACAACGATGTACTGCCATAAGGGCCCCTGGCAAATAAAAAAAAAAAAATCACAACAAAGATGACAGAGCCTGCAGAGAATTTGGAACCCAACATGGCACCAAGGAGAGTATCAAAGTCTGGGACAAAAAGCTGATGACATTGTAAAAACGTGTTAAAGAAGCACAGTCAGGCTGATATTTCTGGGGGCCAGACGTTCAATCAGCACGCAAATATTTTAGAGAGACTTTAATATCAGACTACAGGGCAGTTTTCTCAGTTTAAAAGCAATGCTGCATCAATCAAGTTCTGTTTGGAAGTGATACTGGTCAAGTACGGAGTGTGTGAGGAAGAGGGATCCACAATCAAATGGTCACCTCACTACGAGATCATCACTGGCTTTCTAAAGAGTTTTGGAGATACAGCTACTTTGACCACATCTCAAATTACCAAAAACATGTAATGGTAATAGATAGACTGGAAAATGATTCCAATTCACCCCCAGCAAATACAATCTTCTGTCTGTGCCAACCTCCATTCATCTGAATTCAACATGCATACAGTTAGAATTCAAAAAAGCTCTCTTGACAATGTGGTGAGTAACGAGCGCTAGCACAAACACTCTACATGAAAGTACTGCTGAAAAGTGTGAAAACTTAATGTGCACATGTCCATTTGTGTCCATATGGGCGCCGATGTGTGTGGGCAAGTGCGAGTGTGGGTAAAATGACACTTTGTGGCTGGCGGTGGTAATCAAGCTTCCTAATTACTTCCTGAGCTGAGAGAGTTGTCAAAGAGAGGAGGAGCTGCCACAGATGGTGAGAGACCCACACTGAAGCCAGAATATTCTAGCTCTCCATCACTGGAGCTGAGCAGTTGTGTTTGTGTGAGATGGAGCAACTGATAGAATGAGTGAATGACCAAGTTTGAGTGAATAAAATAAGCCTTAAATAAAAAAAAGACTGACCATCCACAACATTGGAGTTGCACTAGAAATGCCTGCTTCAATATATACACCCAGTGAAACCAACTTTATTTTAGAAAACTTTGTTCAACTATGAGGAAAGTTTCCTGCAGGCAGGTGTAGGACCAGTGGACTCTCTCTCTAGTCTCTAAGACAGTTCACAACCCAAACTAAATGCTGCAAGGAAGATACTCACCACTGTGAGGAGCCATCGGTGCCGCTGACCTCTAGCAGATCATAATCGTCCTCCAGCTGAAAGTCAGAGAAAACCAGGGCGATGGTGTCTCCCGGCTCGGCCAGCACTGTCCAGGTGCAGTCTGCATTGTTGTTGTACTCGGCGGGGTAATTGGGAGACGTGATCACACCACTTTGGCCTCGCAGTGTGCCTCCGCAACCGTCATCCGCTGCAGGGAGCGCAAGAAAAAATAAAATCTTAGTCAAGCTGGAAAAACATAATCTCAGCCTAGTGGAGCAGAGGTAATTGAAGGTGCACCAACAAAACAAAACAGCAGAAAAGCAGAGAGGGTTCTTAAAAGGCTAATTGCACCAACCGCAGTTACAGGTCAACTCTAAACTTTGAATTGATCGACCTGCGTTAGTGTTTACACATGTTTGGAAAACATTTCAGTGAAAGAGAATGAATAAAACCTAGCAAAGTGGAGAGCTCTTTAAAAACAGTCTTAACATGTGCAATTACATTTGTATGAATGGATTTGTTTTTTTTCTTACACTGAACAATAACTTGAAGGTTTTTGCTCAAGGTGCTCAAAAAGCCTGAGGACAATTCAAGGCAGTGTATCTGAAGTGGACAGAGTTGGCATATTCTGTTTTGCCGACAGCCCAGGTAAAAGCTTATCCAACTCAGGAGATTGGAAAGGTGCGGTGCCTTGCGATATATTGTTCCTCTGTCTGAAATATTTTACCATAGGCCCAATCATAGAATTTAAAACGGTCCGCTGAGTTTTACTACCAGCAAAAAAGGAGGGAAGCGAGCATGATGCAACCTCCTGCAACATGGAGGGCAGTAATTAAATTCAAATAAATTCATATTTTGGTTAATTAAAGAAACCCTACCACCTCCACACAGAGATAAGGAGACTTTTAAATAATGGAGAAAGTTCTAGTGTTTCTAGGATAATTCTGCTGCACTTCGTCTAGTACTACGTTAGCGGCATGGCTACTGTGGGGCTACTGCATCATTTAAAAGCCTTTTCTCTTCAGCTTCTTTTCTTCTTCCCTTCTATGTGGCAACTTACTAACTTTTCTCAGCACGTATCGTATAAGAGAAAAAGAAAATCTCGAGGTTGCCTGGAATTCAAATGGGGATGCCTGAAATATCTAAAAAATTATAATTAATTTAAATTAAAAAATATTTTTCAACTGATTATTATTCCTTTTTTAAAACCATGACAACTGTATTCTTTCTTGGATATAAATTTTGTTCAAATATAATGCAACATATAAAAATATCTCAGCTAGCTTATCTTGATTGACGGCTGCAATAATGTGACTGAAAAAAAGTCTCTGGAAATTTCTGATATCAAATGGGGTCACAAGGCATCAAAAAGTTAGGAATCACTGTGTTAGGCCGATTGTGCTGGTGTGAAAGTTACATACATGCTCTAAGTGTTCATAAGGAGTCTGTGTGTTGTGGGCGTGGTAATTATTGACGGCCAACGAGCGAGGTGTTTTAAGGTGGGCAAAGGAAGAAGGAAGAAGAGATCAGACAGCCCCCTTCTATCGCCCATCCCCGCTGTCACCGCAGCAATGTGCCCTGAGGGAGGGCAAAGGAGTGCATGGACGAGCGGAAACCTGCGAGGTGTGAGGTGTGAAGCGGAGGGAAACCACGACAGAAGGCCGAGAAGAAGGGGATGAAGAGGATGACAGGTGACAAGCTGTGATGGTTGAGGGAAAAGTGCAGAGGGAGGTTGGACAGTGAAGAAAAAGAGCGATGGTGAGAGAGATGACAGGTGATTGTTGCAGTGGGAGTGACAGGAAGTGGGAGACGTGGAAGGCAGACAGAAGAAAGGCTGAGAAAGTGCATTGATATTCCACACAGGGCTGTTTCTTCACACTTGAAGGGAGGGACCTGACTCTCCTCTTATTCCACTCTTCACCTTGACTCTCTCCTTCCTTCCTTACACATCGCTCCCGCTGCCAGCCAAAGTAAGCACTCTGCTGCAACGGACCTTAAAACATGAATCGTAATAAACTAAGTATCTGCTGAATTCAGCAGTGTCCTGTGGGTGGAAACATTTGATTTATCCAAATACAAAGTGTTTCCCTGAGCAGAACATTGGCTATTTTTGAGCTTTGACTAAGAATGTGGTGATGGTGCTGCAGTACAAAGCTGATTCCTCTCTGTTTTAAAGACATTGGAATGAATGTACGTCATAAAACATCAATCAAACCAAAGTGTTAAAGGATGTAAAAATGAATGAGACATTTCTTGAAGAGTAGAGAGGAACAGAAATAAATAAAAAGGGAAACAGAAGCCTCTGACCATCAAGAGAGTGTAGACATATCTCAATTTTAAGATAATTTAAGGCAAGAAGGTTTATGGTTAAAGTATCAAAAGAGAAAAAAAGAGTAAGAAATGCAATGTAATGGCATGTAACCTGCCAAGACTGGAATCAAACCCACAACCCTTCAGGTGTAAGAAAACTGTATCTACTGAGCTAAAGCTGCTACCAGTCAATATTACAGCAAATTCTAACTTAAATAAGTTTTAACTTTATCTGCATCATCAGTAACAATGAATAGTTGGTAAACTTGCACTCTTCACAGGCCAGAATTCCAAATGTGCCAAAATAATTGGCTCCTGATGTGCAGTATAAAATCTGTGGACTCACACAGTATATGCAGGTCGTGTAATTGGTTCGACGGCAACAATGCACTCGTTTAATAAAAAGAAAAAAAAAGACTGGGATTCAGAGAGAACTTGGACATGTTAGTGAATTTCAGGTGAGACTGTCAGTTTCCAAAATGTATCGGCATGTAATCTGGGCTAAAAAAAAAAAAAAGGTGACATTTCTCTGCTGAGAACGGTGCCAGCTCTTCTATTCCAGGAAGGACCCAAGTGGGTGGAGATGTGAAGGTGGAAATTGGCCGAGTTTTGGTGCGAAGAACAAATTGTGACTTCATTTAAGTTTTCTAGATGGGAAGTTAGAAATGTTCTGATATATATTTTTTTTTTTTTTTCTTAGGTGTAGAGTACATGCATGTGCACATGTCAGTGTGTGATTGGGTGGGCGGAGACTGTCCTGGCACATGGTGCCCTGCCATGTGTGCTAGTATGTGGGCTTCCTGACTCCCAGCCTTCTTGCAGATGGCACAGTGTCGCAGCACTCGGCTCAGCGGGCACATTTACGCTGAGTGTTGGCCACATGAAAATGTGGACACACATGGGCCGGCATAAAATCCTGTACGTAATGTGCCAATCTATGTCACTGCTGTGTGAGGCACTTCTGAGTGAGTGATTAAAAATGACGTTAAATAAACAAACTGAGCTAAACAACTATCACCACTCGGACGACACGCACTGGCAGGGGGCGCCGCCGCAGGGGTGTCGGCTAATGTTGAAGGAAGGACGACTGCAGCAGGAGCCTGACTGTGAGCTAACACCTGAGGTCCTTGTCACTGTGAATAAGACATCACTATAACTGAAGAAAACACTGTAAGCTGACAAATGTAGATAATGAATGTGTGACATTCTGTGGGAACAACGTGTACATGTGTGATACTCCCACAACTTTAAGATTTATTAAATGGCTGGTAGTATGCTTTATGTTAAATATAAAGCCACTAGCTGAACGATTAGAATCAAGTTTTCATCTTGATTGGTAATTCCTGGAATGCAACTTTATCAAAACCCAACAGGCCCGCCACCCCAGACAGATGTCCGCCGCCCTTCCTACGTACCTCTGCAGTAGGGAAGAGGGAAATCCCAAGCAGCTGTACCAGCTGACGTGGCCAGACAAGAGAGGGTGGTGTGACCCTCCAGTACATATCCAGGACTGCAGCTGTAGCGGATTTTGTCCCCGATGTTGAACGTTGACCCCTGCTGGTGGCCGTTGATTAGCTGTCCTGGATTTCCACAAGTGTAGCTGGGCAGTGCTGCAGAAAGAGAAAAAAAAAAGAATAAATGAATTCATAAATGGACATTGGAAAAGAAAAAAAAATAGTACACAGTACTGTACTGTAAAATTACAAACCTTGTACTGTAACAGTGTCATGGATAAGCAGGAGGTTATAGAAGGCATTACAGTGATTAACAACAATTGGCAGTTAAATTGTGCAAAACATTTGTGCCAAGATGTGAATGTGTGGAGCAGCAACAGATCCTAACGACGTTAATTGTCATTTGTTTTCATTACAATATTTATGTAAAACAATGCTAACCAATGACCCCCAATAATTAGACCGAACTTCAATGACAGCACACTGGGAAACAATGACATGAAAGGACAGCAAACAACACTAAAAAAGAACATTTAAACAGAATTAACTTTACAACATAGCAACAGAATAATAAAAGGGAAGTTAAATAGAAAATAATGTTACATATCAACCATCACTGTGCCAGATATACTTTGGGTGATTACTAATAGGAAAGGGGAGTTCAAAACAAACAAAAAAATCTCATTGTCTCCTTTCTCTAACTCCCGCTGCATATTTTCTTACAGCTCATTATTGTAGCTTCTTTTTTTCCTTTTCTTAGACAAATATAACCATTAAAGCTGTTATATCACTGCATCACTGCTATAACATTATACTGCTCTGCTGCACAGTACTATATAATTGCTTCTATAATTATCGTACCTTTATACTTCAGTATTATTAGTATTGAGATAGTATTGTATTTAATTATACCTATCGTACTATATTTAAACTATTGTATTTATAAAACATTCCTTGCACTACTATCACTATTATATTGCTGTTAATTATATTTATATCATATTGCTTGATAGCACATATTTTTAAGTGTGTCCTGCACCCAAACTAAACGTGTTATACATTTAGATGTAATTTTTCTTATATTCTAAATTTAGTTGATTTTTTAAATTCTTACATAACTGCTGGTGTACAGTCCCACGTGCATATTTAATCTTAATGACACAAAGGTGATCACTATTTTATTTTTACACTGTTGAAAACACATGTGCACCAGCTTACAGTTGCAGCCGCAGCATGGGGCAGGAAAGTCTCCAGAGCATGTGCTGGACTTTGGATGAAACACAGCATCTCCACAGGGACTGGGCTCCAACCCAGACAGGACTGAATGGCTGTGACACATTTCACCTGCACCTAGCTATCACATGCAGTGCACATCCACATTTATAATGTGCTACCAAAGATAAAAAAAATCAAGGAAACTTGGCTGCACATCGAAGAATAATTCCCAGGTTAATAAATATGTTTAGAAAGCACAGGGTTAGACAAGAATAGGTTGGGTGAATGAAAATGTTTTTTTTTTTTTTATGTATAATGTAAATATCATGGCCATCTAGGTTGCTTAGATTTATGTGTTTTAAGCAAGTGTAAATTTTATACTGTTTTTCTTTCTGAATGGCCTAAAATTATAACTATTTTCTCTGTGGTTATTTATTTTCCCTTTCAGGCTCAGAAAGTTAAAGCCCGCTCACAGCGAGGTCCAACAAGGACACATCAGTCATCTTCCTTAACAGTGCATTCCAGGACTTGTGTTGTAGGAGTCACTGGCTGGTAAATAAACAGATTGAAGACCGTCTGTGTCCACACCACTTTTTTACACAACATGACCTCAGGGCGACTCAGCTCCCATATTTCACAAGTACTGGATTCTTTGAAGCAGAGAGTGAGACCACCGTAAGTGATAGTTTTAGAGGTTGGGCATGAATTTTGGGGGGTTCATGGAGGTTCTCTGTTGTTTATGGGACTCAATAAATTATTAAAATAGAATAAAGATGAATAAAGACAACATAAAAACAGTGTATTTGCAAACTAAGTATTGTAATTTAAAGATGACAGAATTCCGATTTCCCCTCCAGAAAATGATCCAGAAAATGATCTGTTTTACACCCTAACATCAGCTGCTTTAGCCCAAAGCTGGACATGGCTCTGCTACCTGTTAAAAAAAAGACATGATTTACAGTTTTTCTGCTCTTTTTTTAAAGGAATGTAATAGGAAACTAATACTTTCTGAAACAATTATGTCTTTTCAAAAAAATGCCCAAGATATTCTTACAAGTGCAACGCAACCTAAAATGCTTTTTGTAAAAAACACATACTGAATATTTAAAATCAATTAATCATCATTAATCAAGATTAACTATGACTAACCGTGACTAATCAAAAAATGTCCTGTTTTAATGCAAAGGTTTTTTTTTAAAGAGTACAACCAATTGTGGTTAGTCACTATAGCTGTGAAGTGTTTTCTATCACTGCTGGAGGCAGAACACCTGCTCAGTTACCGACTCCTCAGTTTTAAATGATCCATTCTGAATTAACTCTTCACATAGTCTGTTAGTGCGAGTGACCTGTTACTTAAAGGTTCCACCGTGCCCCATTTTGACCAACCAAGGACACCATGTTATCACTTCTCCTCCATCATGACCAAATTAGCATTAATACACAGAACTTATTAGCATAGCAGCTGCTGGGAGTCAGGCTTCGGTGCAGCAGCATGGCCACAAGGGGTCTCAGTGGAATACAGGTGACTGGTTCTCTCTGCAGTCCTGTCCAGGCCCAGAGTTACTACAGCTGTAGTAAAATAACTCAAGTTGAGTTTTTAATCTGATTAGATGTGTAGAATGAGGCTTGGGATGGGGATCAAGTAGAAACAATCACTCAAACTCTGCCCTAGGATTTTAATACCAACACATGTAACCCACTTCGTTAGTTGTAGCTGCATTTCACTGAGTTACGCTGATGCCAGAGCACTGATATTCTGCATGCTGATATATTGGCCAGGATTTACTGGCACCCAGCACAACACATGGAACGGAGCCATCATTAATGTTACTAATTACACCTGTGCTTTTCCCATCGTGAGAGGTCGGATGTCTGCAGTGGGATCTCAGAACAGAATGTTAGAAGAAAACAAATGTATATATTAATTTGACCTTATTTCCTTTTCCATAGAAAAAAACAAGCAGCAAATGTGATTTAACACAGTGTGGGCTGCGCACAATTCTTCTAAGGAGCCTGGCCTCTGCCATCACGTGTACTTTTAGAGTCCATCACCTCCCCCCTTCCTGAACGACACCCTAACACCACCACCGCACCACTTAGGTGTGTGTCATGGCAGGTCCATAAGTCACCAAGACTGGAGATGCTGACGTGGCTCGTCCCCGGGGCCTGGGGGCTTTAAACTCTTTTACTGCTGAAGACGGCCAAGGTGGCTCCTCGTCCATCAATGCAGGACATCTGCATGCACGGGATGGAGGCACACATGCACACACACACACAGACTAAGGCCTTTTGTGATGTCATCACTAACATTCCATTAGTCTGCAGGGTGTCTTTGGAAAAAAAAATGAATAGAGTGAATTTGCTCCTATGTAATGACCTTTGACCCTGTAAGGGTGCTCTGTCTTACATGCCATATCTATCAGCCTAGCTTTTCATAAATATAACTAGTGGTGATAAACGGTTTATTTACTTTACTGTAACTTGATGATAATAATAATTTTTCCCTTGAGGTATTTTAAAAAAAATAATAAAAAAGTGTTGCACGTTTATTTCATCATGATGATGTTTGCATAGAGATAGAGAGAAAACAAGTAAGACAACAAGAGGGAGAATGATAAAAACAACCCTGATTCAACAAACAAACCACATGAATATCAACAGGAAACTCCTGTATTCTACACTGCAAAAGGAATTCAAGACACAAAACACGGGGACAACCATAAGGGTGATGTCGAGTTAGATTTTTTTTTTTTTTCAGTAGACGAAGCCAGGTTTGTTTACCTCAGTACAACAAACTTCAAAATGTTACACTCTGTCTTCTCCCTATCCGTTCTTTGCCCGTGTGCTGTTTCCATCCTCCTGCTGTATGTACGTGGGAGTAACATTGTGACATCGACTCCATCACATGGCTACATTAGCTCAGTAAGGCATTTCTGCTTTGTCTAGCACTATTTGAAGCAATGCATCCTGGTCCTTACACATGGGCTGGACTCCATTGTACAGCTACAAAAAAAACCAAACTCTGCTGCACTTTTCTTAAAAAAATCACTAAATAAATTTAAAAAAATCATTCATTACCACCATTATCAATATTTAATGATGACGTAAGCCATATTCTTAAGTGGACACTAAATAATGCACAAAATAATGCACTAAATAATGCACAAAATAAAAAAAATTCCAAGGTAGCGAGTCGTCATCCGCAATGAAGCGCAGCGACGTGTGAAGCAAGTTGACAGTACACACCTCTGTGCATATAATAGAACACCATATACATGCAATCAAACATGGATAAACAAATAAACAAACAAGCAGAACTGGGGAGAAGGCAGGTAGACTCTCAGTGACCGTACACAGCAGCTGGCGGAGACACAAAAAAAAAAGGTGTGCGAGCTGGTGAAGTGTGAAAGAGCGCTTGCACAGAATAAATGGCTGCCAACAGTGTCTGCACAACAGAATGATGTGCCATTCAGTGACCATTTACTATATATGAGAATAAACTAAGAGGGATCAGGCGGCTTGAGAGACCTCAAGGAAAGCCTGAAGACAGATGGAGCTTGGAGGAGAGATCGACACATCTGTACACAGCCTCATGTACTCTGCCCCGACTCAAAGCATCTAAATCCCCCCCTGACTTTTATGGGCTTATCGCTCCACTGGCATGATACTTGCAAACAAGAATCACAGAAAACCTGGGGGTCAAACCATGAAAGAACCGTGGTCAAGTGCAACTCGGAACAAACCAGGTTCACACAAACCACAACTGGCACATTAATTTTTAAAAAAGGAATACCCAGATGAAGGTGCCTTCTAAGTTAGTACAGGTGTTCCTCGACTGACTTCTATCTTATTCATCTATCTATCATATTATCTTAATTTCTGGAGTTCAGAAAAGTCACAATGACAACTGCATCCTCTGTAAAGGATGTCATGCGCCCTCT